GCCGGTCTGACTGGCAAAATTCTCTGACAATATAATGGCCGTCAGACCGGTCGGTCGGACTAGATTCGGGTAGTTTATTGGTTTGGGTCTATTTTGTATTCTACTCAGATTAGGACTACTATATGGTACAATATCCGATTTTGGGCCCTATAAAAGAAGGCTTTATAAGTCTAGGGTTAGAAAGAATCATACCAAGGAGTGCTGCATATTGTAAAAGAGAAGAAAAGAGAACTAAGGAGAGAAATATGGGGTTTGAGAGATCTCTTAGTGAGATTGAAAGGGTTTATTGTAGAATCTATTTTAGATCATAAGAGTAGATTATCTTGTAATCTCTAGAGCAAAAGATGACTTTATTTTCTTGCCGTGGACGATGGCGATCACCGAACCACATAAATTCAATGTCTTTGTCTTTTGATCTATTGTTCTGAGGTATTTGCTTTACACTTTTGTTCGAACTATTATTTTCTCGGTATTTTCACATTGCCTAGTGATTGATTGGTCTACAAAGGAGAAGGTCTAATCAAGAGTTTTGGTGATGCTTCCGCAGGATACACTTCCGCATAGATTTCTGATTGGTGTGTATCCATCAGTGTCGGGTTGCGGATGGCGTGCGAAAACATCTAAATCACATGATCGTTTACCCTAGTTAATACGATAATATATCCTCTCAGCTCAGTTCAGTAGTAAAGGATTAGGATGGGGAGCAGAAAATCCAAGATCAGTAATTCCTGCTCTAAGCAAGAAACGGTTCTAATGAAATTGATGTAATTTCGTCTATGAATATTTCTCGCTGTTGGCAAAAATCTGCGGTTAAGTTTATAGGACGTTTATAATTTTTTCATTGAATTCAACACAATGTTAACTATAAATAGCACATTTTCTCTGCAAATCATTATTTGTACATCACCTCAGTCTGATATACAGACACTTAGTAGATACTGCTCTATTTCGAAGTGTAGGATTCAATATTCTCAGAATCTGATACAGAGATCGCCATCTCCAGGGATTTCGACGATTCATCTACTTGTTCCCTCGATGGAAAATTTGAGCACGAAGGGGATTCTTCATGACGGTAGTGATTTCAAATCCTTCGGTTAGATCAACCTCTTGTCCTTCCGCTGTTCTCCATTCGAACTTCCTCACCAAATTCGCTACAAAATACTCCAAATGCAACATGGCAAGCCCATAACCAGGACATATCCTCCTCCCTGCACCAAAAGGCATCATCTTGATCTCCCTGCTTCCCGTTATATCCACTACTTCGTCAGAAAAATCACCATTTCCTTTTATAAACCTCTCCGGCTTGAACTCCATTGGATCCTCCCACACTTTCTCATCCCACCCTAGTTGAACAACGTTGGTATGTATCTCTGATCCTTTCGGTATCAAATAATTGTTCAATTTCACATCCCGTGCCGCTCTATGAGGCAGTATGAAATGAGCTGGCGGGTGTCTCCTCAGCCCTTCCACGACCACCGCCTTCAGATACGGCATCTTCTGCAAGTCTTCCTCCTTGATCTCCTCGTTCGCAGGTATCACCCTCTCAATCTCCTCTGCTAGCTTCCTCTGTACCTCCTGATGTTTCACTATCTCGGCCATGATCCACTCCAATCCAGCCGATGTTGTCTCGGTGCCTCCGCTGAGAAACTCGTGACACAGGTTCACTATCTCATCCTCACTGAGCTTCCTCCCCCCCTCTTCAGGGATCTCTAGATCGAGAAGGGAATCAACATAACAATATGGAAGAAACTCTCCTTTGTCCCCCTTGAGCTTCCGTTCTTTCCGCGCCCTTATCAAGGGGTTGAAGATCTCCGCCTGTCTCCTCCTAATCCCTACAATCTGGTTCCACTTCCTGCGGAACAAAACCTTCATAACCCTCGGAAGAACAGCAAAAAGGTTGAACCTGACGAAGAGGAATAGCAGAGAGTACTGGATATCCCTTATCTCTTCGATCTCCTCTTCGTCGAGTTTCTGCCCAAAACACATGGCAACGAGCAAGCAGAACATTGTGAAGCTAAATTTCTTCACGGGTATCACTTCGTTCTCTCTATCCTCTTCCTCTTCCTCTTCCTCTTCCTCTCCTCCTCGAGCGTTGAGTTTGCTGACAAGTAGTTTAAACGCCCAACTGCGTGCTGGGGCGAATTTCTTTACGGAAGAGGGATGGAGCATCTCCGAGGTGAGATTGCGTCGGAGTAAGCGCCATAGAGGGCCATGCGGTGATGTATTTATGTCATGTCCGTTGCACGTTAGGTAAATCATAGGCTCTTTAAGCGGAGGGCGGTCTGCGATGGCCGAGCCAAGCTGAACCAGGGCTTGGTGGGCGATCTCACGGTCCTCGATGAAGATGTTTGGATGAGAGGGAGTTCGAAGGGACATAATAGGGCCATAGGTTTTGTGGAGGTCATGGATGACTTGCTCGAGCTCGAACAGAGATTTCTTTTTAAAGATTATGTTTTTAGCAAAGAAGGCTATGGTTGATGGTCCGGGAGGAAGAGAAGGAGCTTTGGGATTGAGTTTGGATAGGAGGAAGGGGAGAGAGAGGGTGAGGGTCAGAGAGAGGAGGACGAGGATCCAAGATTCCATTATTTCGTCTGCAAGCTTCGCCTGTGACTCTGGTATTTGATAATTGCGAAAAATATGTCAAGGCCCCCAAAAAAGAAAGCTCTAGTGGTCTAACCCCTTGAAGTTTTTGACAGTGTTTTATCCATAAAAAACCCAAGAAATTGTGATCTAGCCCATTTTCACTAGCTCCCAAAAATCAACCCCAAAAAGTTCCGAAAATACCCTTCCCCTTTTCTTCTTCTTCTTCTTCTTCTCTGCGTCTTTCTCCTCCTCCTCTCATCTAACTACTCATTTCTCCTCTTCTTCTCTCCTCCTCCTCTCCCCTAATCCTATCTTTCCCCAAAAACTATACCCCTTAACCCTTCCCCCAAAAACTGACGCTCTCTCTCCCCCCCCTCTCTCTTCTCTCGCTCAGAATCCTATAAGCTCAAGAGAATCCAAAAAATCTTAGATTTGAACTCAACCCTTCACAAGATCCCTCAAAAGTCTGTTTAAAAAAAAAATAGAAAATGGTCGAAAACCAATTTGAAGAAGAGTGAAGGAGACGATACCCACTTCGAAGTTGTTCATCGTCGGTGCCCCTCAGATCCGACGACAAAGGAGGCTCTTTGAGAATCATCTGCCTCCTCCTCTGCATATCGTTATACCCTGCCGTCAGCTCTTCTTCTCTGGCATCCGCCTCATCTGAGGATGATGACAGTAACGAGGCAACAATGGCCCTGTTGTGCATGAAAAGTGGATTGGATTTTATCCACCGAGACTCTTACATTTGTAACTTGACTTGCATGGTGTCGTTAGGCGAGAAGGCTATGTTGTCAATGCTAAGTTCTATAACAAGCTTTTTTGAACTAAAATTTGATATGTTCGAAAGACTGAAAGTACCTCAAGATAATTTATCATTGATATAAATCTGAGAAGCACACGAATATGAAATTTTCAGTTGATAATTGTAGCGCCCCGCCCCGGAATCCCGGAGTCGGTACGCTATTAGATCTGATAGACTAGCCTCACAAACTACCACATGTCTTTTCAGCACGTTTTGTCCTCACTCACGCGCTCCCTGGAAAAATTCCCAGGGGGTCACCCATCTTAGAATTTCTCCACGCCAAGCACGCTTAACTTTGGAGTTTCTAAGAGTTGGGTTCCAGAAAAAAAGATGCATCTTGATGGTATGAGTATTCCAATCAAATCTATCAATACTAATCACATCACCCTCTCAAGGGTTGGGGTATTACAAACTCCCCCACTTAAACTCACAACGTCCTCGTTGTGCCAAATCATATCATCCAAGACCGTACTATCCGTGTGAGATTCTAGAGGTGGCTCCTACGGCCTCAAGAGGTGGCTCACGCCCTCTCGACGTAGCACTTTGCGCCGCATAGCACTTAGCTCTCACAATTCCGGTTGGCTTGGCTCTGATACCAATTGTGACGCCCCTAGGTTCACACAAGGCTGCAGTCCAAGGTAAAACCAAGAATGTCAAACCTGCCTTACACCACACCGTGCAATAACATGTTTCACCATCACAACTAACATCTATCTAGTAGAGTCAACAACAGGTATAGGTACAAAAGCAAGTAAAAGATAATACAAGAAGACTGATGAAATGATAATAATCAACTTAATGTCTCATCATCCAACAAACAGAAACACATAGTCAAGATCTGAGTAGATAAACTGGAATACTCAACAAGTTTCAAATACAAATATCTGGCAAGAAGGAAATAAGGCACACAGCCTTTACAACTTCTAAAACAAGACTCTCAAATGTCTAAACATGAGTCTACTGTGGAACTCCAAAAGAAAATATATAACTAGCTAGACAGCTGAAGCTAAAATGCATCGCCATCAACCTGCGACTCTCCGGGCTCCTGGCTCGTTACCTGAAAGGGGGAGGGACAACGAGCGTCAAAGCGCTAGCGAGTAACATCACAACCAACCCCAAGGGAATAGGGCTCGTTGTATAAGAAAATACAGATAATATATAATAGATCTAAACTCATTGATCTTACTAAAGAGGGTTTTAGTAATTAGAAATTTACAACACGAGAATAGGTACGTCGAGCGAAATAATCCAAACAAGGAAACCCTCATGTATATACCTTATATCTCAAATAGTAAACCCCTAATCACCAATCCCGAGGTTCTAATACAGGAACAATAATAAAAGAAATACGACTAATCTCAGAACATAAGTGCAGTGCTATATCATAGCCTACATGAATATCATATTAAAATCTACATAAGTGTCATGTCAAAATCTACATAATTATCATGTCATGAACTGCTGTGAGAAAGACATATGCAGGGTTAAGAACTATGTCCGAAACAGGAACTATATATTGTAGTTTCCAAACTCATGGAATAATTATGCAGGGTTAAGAACTATGTCCGAAACAGGAACTATATATTGTAGTTTCCAAACTCATGGAATAAGTAGCAAATGTCCAACACGAGGACTGAAATGGATTATAGTCCAACACGAGGACTTCTATGGATTATAGTCCAACACGAGGACTATGAAATGGTGAAAAATATCACTGTGATATATAGTGAAATCTACTTATATCAATCCCCACTCAAATTAGTGTGTACGTCCCCAATTTGTACCCTCAGGTCATCTATCATGCTTGGGTACATAGTAAGACTAAAAACCAAAGTCAGATAATCCAGGCAAACTCTCGAACATGAGTGAAATACTCAAAAATACACAAAACAGGGATTTGCAACAGACAGTGCGGCGGTCGACCGCACCGGCGACTGCCTCTGATACACGCCTGGCGTCGATCCGCTGCGGCCTCGCGGTCGACCGCTGCGGTCTCGTGGTCGACGCCAGAGCATCGCGGTCGACCGGTGCGGTCGACCGCAGACGTTTTCTGCCTTACGCGAGCCCAGCGATCGACCGTCCCGGTCGACCGCTAAGCGAACAGAAACCCAAATCTGAGTTTCCTGTCAGCTCGAAACCCTGAAATAAATTTGAGCATTTCTCTACGATAACAGGAGTTCTAATGTTTCAAAAATACTACAGAAAGATAAACAGCTAATCCAAGCCTGAAATCTACATTTCCATATTCTATGAATACATGAGAAACAAATCAAAAACGTTTTAAAAACAGTAAAAATGATTTAACTCTTGTTTAAGCAAATTTCAGATCTAGATCTTTATTAAACAGAACATTGGTGAACTTTTATAAACCAAAACCATTGATTCTTGTAATCCATATTATAGAGAACTTAATTTTATACGAAAATACCATTTGGGCTCATCAAAAACTCATAAAAAATCAAAAGAAAGCCATAGAAAATAGGGGTGAGGGATTGGGCGAGATGATACTCGCCTCAGGTGAGCAATGGATCTCTGAATCTGAAGGAGAACGTTTCCCTTCGCTGAATCCCACCAAAAACTGCTGCAAATCCTCAAGAACTTCTCCCAAATCACCAAACAAAGAGGACTAGGGTTTTAGGGAAGAGAGGGGGGCTAGGGTTACTGATTTCAGATGCAAAGAGGGTTGTCTCGGATCATTAGCCTATATACCAACTCACAACCCGACCCGAAACCCGTTTGAACCCGATCCTGAGAAAACACTCTGACCGTTGTGTGGTCGACCGATGCGGTCGACCGCCACGGTCGACCGCTTCGGTCGACCGCGCAGCAGAAAAATGCCTGCTGCTAGGCATTTAACATGCTGGTCATTCACTCGATTTCTCTCACATAGAAACACTTGATGGGTTCGCAAACACAGATAATTACATTCATCTGATATGATTATTTATCACAAAGAAAAAAAATTATTACTATTTATTCACACATTTTCATTATAAAATTGTGTGGTTTTACAATAATGAAGATGATTTGAAGTGCATGGTGGAGCATAATCGAAATAGTGGTTGTATGGAGACTCATATGCAAGCTGTTGTTAATATAAATGGTTTTATTTTTGAAAGAAATCAGAAAGTTCTAACTGAAATGTTAGTAATTAATAAACTCTTTTAAAAAATTAGCTTTGTGTGATGTTAGTTTTGTGATTTCAGATTCCACAGCATAGACGAATCATAAATATTAACTTTAACGGTTACATGTTTACTCTATCTGTCGTGTGTTAAGTATCATAGCTATCTGTTAATTTTTACCAGAACATGTTAACTTTTATGGTTTTTTACTATCATAGTTATATGTTAACTTTTAACTGAACGTGTTAACTTCTCCTAGTCTGTTAACTTTTCCTACTGAATGTTATCTTTCGCTGCTTTATGTTAACTTTCACCCAAACCTGTTAACTTTCACTGCTTTATCTTCGTAGAAGCGTTTAAAAAAATACTATTGCTAAGTCTTTTATCTCATCCTAGATTATAAGAAGCGAAGTGTGTAAAGAGATGTAATTGAGATATTGTCACCAATTACTATTAAAAGGAAGGAAAGAAATAGAACTAGACGTATAAATAATAGAATAATTTATAAATGTCCACTGAAATGTTCTTGATGCAAAGCTGAAGGTCACAGTCAAGCTAATTGTAACGAAACAATTGGTGATTAGTGTGGATTGCTTATTAGTACAATAGTTTTAGTAAAGCAATGTAGGTTGTCAGGACTTTTGTAGCATATGGTAGAAGATTTTTGTATCTCTAAGATTGTAAGTCTAATCATATCGTGTATTCAACTGTAAGGATGTAAGAATTTTAATATAATATACTTGTTTAACTAAAGTTGTTTATTTGTGTTGCCTGTTAACTATCTCAGTATCACGTTAATTTTTAGCTTACACGGTTAATTTTTACGCTTACCTGTTAACTTTCACATAAATCTACTAACTTTGAGCGTTACCTGTTAATTTTATGTGATATTAACAACAAACATAAGAGTCTAGTAGTGAGTAAAACCTTCAACGCTAGATACATTTAGGCTGTTATGAATTTGAGAGATGCTCGTGACCGTCCTAACAAGTTACTATGTTGTCCAAAATTATGTTCATCCATAAACTTCTGAATTTCAATTTTATTTTATTTTTAACAGGAGAGACAAATAGCATCCATTGACAATAAACTCAGATACCTTTGGATCCATTCTTTGCAAATTTATAATCAAATTTTTTTCACTCTAGAATAGTATTACAAAGCTAGTCTCAATTCATTTATATTTTCTATGGTGAAAATTTTTGATTATGAATTTGCAAAGAAT